TGTTCCATTCTGGATTTGCCCCTCCTCTCCCTGCTCCCATTCCTTGTGTGGACACACAAATGGCAAGGTTGGCACACAGAGGTCCCCATCTACATGAAGCCCGAATCAGAGCTATGCTTGCCTAAAAATATGCTTATTTCTTGCTAGCTCATCTCCTACTTACAAAACTCAGGTAACAAAGTTTTCCATTCAGCTGGGTGCCAGTGGCTCATGCCTCTAAACTTACCAACTCAGGAGGCTGCAATCTGAGGATCATGGTTCAAAGCCAGGCTGGGCAGACTTTTATCTCCAATTAACCATTCAAAAATTGGAAGTAGAGTTGTGGCTCAAAGTGGTAGAGCACTAGCCTTGAGCAAAAGAACGCAGGGACAGCACCCAGCCTTGAGTTCAAACCCCACAACAGACAAAACAAATAAAAACAAAGCTTCCAACTCCTCACACAAATGGCAACCACCCATGATCCTTCTGGAACTTTCCCTCAAGCCAACAAGAGTTAATAGGGTGGCCAAGCACCTGTGTAGTTGGTTTAGTTGGTTCACACCTGTAACCCTAGCTCCTTGGGCAGCTGAGAGGTGAGGATCATGGCTCCAAGTTAGGCCAGGCAAGAAATTCCATGAGACTTTTATTTTGACAGTCATGGGACTTGAACCCAGCCTGGGCGCTGTCCCTGAGCTCTTTTGCTCAAGGCTAGTGCTCTACCACTTTGAGCCACAGCACCCTATCCAGTTTTTGAGTGGTTAATTGGAGATGAGTCTCACAGGGACTTTCTTGACCTGGCTGGCTTTGAACCATAATCCTCAGATCGCAGCCTCCTGAGTAGTTAGGATTGCACGCCTGAGCCACCGGTACCTGGCTCTATGAGACTCTTCTCTGTAATTAACCACCAAAAAGTGAGAAGTGGCACTGTGGTTTGAATGGTCGAGCACTAGCCTTGAGCAAAAAATTTCAGGGACAGCATCCAGGCCCCGAGTTCAAGCTCCAGGACTGTCCCCCCTTTTGCCACCCCCCCAAAAAAGCCTACAGCATGCTTATCACCTTTTCTGGCTAGGTCAGGTCAAGCACAACGACCCAAGTCTCACGTGGCCCCCATATTTTCTCCAGGTCCTCAGATCGGAAGCACTGACCTTCAGCGCTACCAACCACGTGGCCTACTTCGAGGCCTCCGCCAAACTGCGACTCAACGTGGACGAGGCCTTCGAACAGCTGGTGCGGGCTGTCCGGTGAGCCCAGTCCCCCCTTCCCATTGTCTTGACCCCCCCCACCCCAACCCTTCCAGCTCAGACTCACCAACTTTTCCCCACAGAAAATACCAGGAGCAAGAGCTGCCCCCAAGTCCCCCCAGTGCCCCCAGGAAGAAGAATGGAGGCTGCCCCTGTGTCCTGCTCTAGCCAAGCAAGAAGCTACGAGCACCAGTCCTTGGGACCAGCTGCAACACCTCTTGTGTGGCCTGAGGCCCTGACTGAGCCTCAGTTTCTTCCTCTGGATCTTCCCAGGGTACACCACACCCCCTGCCCATATTACGTCTTTTATCACCACAGTGTGCCTTCTGCCAATGCCTTCCATCCCCACCCAAGTCCCTGGCGGGGTGTGGGGCTTCTAGCCACCGCTGTATATATACATATATATCTATATATCTTCGCCTTTAGAAAAAAAATAAACATCACTGCCAATATCAAGAGGTGCTTTTTAAAAAAGGAATGGAGCTGGGTGTTGGAGGCTCATGCTTCTAAGACTAGCTATTCAGGAGGCTGAGATCTGAGGATCGCAGTTCAAAGTCAGCCCAGGTAGGAAAGTCTGTGAGACTCTTATTTCCAATGAATCACCAAAAAACTGGAAGTGGTGCTGTGGCTCAAGTGGTAGAGCGCTTGCCTTGAGTGAACTCCCAGGCCCTGAGTTCAAGCTGCACAAATGACAAAAAAAAGAAAAAAAATGTAGGTGGGTGACATACAACTAATCTCAGCACTAGGGAAGCTGAAGCAGGAGGATCTTGAGTTCAAGGCCTCTTTGCACTACATTGCCTGACAGACTTCATTTTGTTTTTTTCTGGAAGGCATTAGAATTGTACTTTTCTATATGGTAGCCAGAAACTACAGATAGCTTGTTTTGACTTCAAATTTAATTAAAACCTCAATTCCTTGAGATCATAAAAAGTCTGTCAAGAAGCTGGGTGCTGGTGGCTCACGCCTGTCATCCTAGCTACTCAGGCAGGATGTTAAGATCTGAGGATTGCGGTTCGAAACCAGCCTGGGTCCCACACAGTAAAGTCTGTGTGAGACTTATTTCCAATGAAGCACTAAAAAGCCCGAAGCAGAGCTGTGGCTCAAGTGGTAGAACACTAGCCTTGAGCATAAAAGCTCAAGAGTAATACCCAGGTTCTGCATTCAAGTGCCAGGACTGGCGTTTAAAAATAAATAAAATCTGCCAGGCGCTGGTGGCTCATGCCTGTAATCCTAGCTACTCAGGAGGCTGAGATCTGAGGATCGCGGTTCAAAGCCAGCCCGGGCAGGAGAGACCGTGAGGCTCCTATCTCCAATAAACCACCAGAAAACCGGAAGTGGCGCTGTAGCTCAAGTGGTAGAGCGCTCGCCTCGAGCTGAAGAGCTGAGGGACAGCGCCCAGGCCCAGAGTTCAAGCCCCACGACCAACAAATAAATAAATAAATAAAATCTGTGCACACCTTCGATGTCCTCACTTCGGTGCAGGCTGCCTGGATTCAAATCCAGACAGAAAACAGCTGCTTAGCGTGGGTGAGGAGTGATCCCTGGGAGCACGGGGAGAACCTGATTCACACTAGGTACTCAGGGTTAGTGACCAAGGCCCTGCCATCTGTTCTGTCCCCAAACCATGCATGAATGTCTGTCTGTGTTCCAGATAAACACATTATCCCTTTCCGGTTTTCATTATCACAGAACACTTGGCCCTGGTTCAACCTTCCGCCCTGGGAAGAAACCCAACTCAATGTATTGTGCTACACCCCCCCCCCATCCCCCAAGAAGGGATCCACCCCTGCCCGACAGGAGGTCATGAGGGGACCATGTTTCCCTTTTACCTGAGCCCCAGTGGGGGGTGCCCTACACAAATCCCCCACGCGCGCGCGCACACACACACACTCAAGACCCCAGCCTTCCGTACTGTGTAGCAGGGTTGCATTCTTGGCCAGGACACCCTGCTCCTTACAGAACCCAAATACACACTGAGAAGCTGACAAGTTACAGCTTGCCCCAGGGGGGCAGGGGGACACCAAGCCTCACAGACAACTGGCAGGCCATTTTTGGAAGATTCATTGCCACTGCTATGCCAAAACTTAGGAGACAGCAGTGGAAGGCTGGCATGGCCCGGCTGGCACCTCCAGCTTCCAGCCCTGGGCCCCTGGCAATGGTTTCAAGCTCCCTGCCTTGACGTTCGTGTCTCTTTCTTTGGTGATAGTGGGGTTTAAACTCAGGGCTTTGTGCTTGCTTGGTACAATACCGCTGGAGCTATGCTTTCTGCCCAGCTTTTGGCAGATTATTTTGGGTATAGGGTCTGGCAGACTTTCCTTCCTAAACTGATTTTGAACTGCCATTCTCCACATCTCAGCCTCATGAATAGCAAAGATTAAAGACATGAGCCACCGCCATCCCCAACCCCCCAATTTTCTTTCCTTTTTGCTATTCTTCAGTATTGACCCCCCCAAAAAAAACTGTTGGTAGTAGAGCTCTAAGCTTGCATACACGAGGCCTTGGGGGGTGGAGGGGTGGTCCTTCTGCACCACCAAAACCAAACAAAACACCAACCCAACTGGGCAATGATGGCTCACAGTCAGGTGGCTGGGATCTGAGGATCTCAGTTCAAATCCAGCCCAAGTAGGAAAGTCCTTAAGATTCTTATCTCCAATTAGCCACCAGAAAACCAAAAGTGGAGCTGTGGCTTAAAGTGGTAGAACACTATCGTGAGCAGAAAAGCTCAGTGACAGCAGCCAAGCCCTGAATCCAAGCCCCATGATTAAAAAATAATAATAAATGGAGCTTGTGGTGAACTGAGTGGCTTTCTCCTAATGTGTGGATCAAATTCTTGCAGTCTCCTCCCTCCCTCTGTGGAAAATACTGGAGGCCATGTTGTGAGGAAACTCAACCAGCCCCGTGCGGATCCTCTAATGCCCGTTCCAGCCCCCAGCCACTCACCTTGCCAGAGGACCCTTGTAGTGTCTGACCTTCTGATACATGGTTGTCACTCTGGCCAACACTAAGACTGGCCCTCAAGACAGATGCGCCCAGACCTTCAGAAAGCGTTAGACCCACCTGGATTTGTGAGTGTGATACACAAGGACCTCCCAGGGCTCTAGAAGAACTGTCTGATCCATCTGTAGACCTGGTGCTGTGTTCCAGTCCCATTCTCCGCCCCCCTCCCCCCATCGCCGCAGGACAGATGCACTCCAGCCTACTGGTACTTTGCCGTTGGGTTTCGTTTGGCTGGTCGTGTGTACACAGTGTATACAAGGTGAGTTGTACAGAAGCCCAATAAAGAGCAAGAGACGAGGGCTGGGTGGGGGGCAGAAAGAGGAGAGGAAAGGAGCAGAGAAGGCAGGGCAGGAGCAGGGACAGATTAAAAAATAGAACCACATCCAGATGACAACAGGAGGGGGCTGTGGGTGGAGGACAGACACAGACAAATCGCTGTAGAAAAGGAGTGAGAGGGGTGGGGGGGAGATCCTCTTCCCCCTCCCCAACCCCCCTTCCCCTGCCCCAGGTATGTACAATAAATAAGATTAAAAATAATTAACAAGATGCGTTTTTCTCCCTCCCACCCGACACACCAAATGCCCTGGGGAGGAAATGGCCTTTAGCAAAGATCATGGCCTCTAGGGGGTGCTGTGAGGGGAGGGGGCAGAGGGGTCCCCCAGCTCTCTGAAGCCCCCACCCCCCTCAACCATACATAGACTTTTCCTATACATTATGTACAAAGTGGAGAGGGCAGGGCTACGGCCATGGAGCGGGGACCGGGGTGAAGGGTGAGGGAGACCATTACTAAATAGACATTTATACATATATATATAAATAATTTCTCTGTACACCGGACAGTGGGGAAATTGGGGAAGGGTAGAGAGGGCTCAGGAAGAGGAGGGATTCGAACTCTGAACCCTGCCCTGGGGGGAGGAGCAGTGTGGACACACTCTGACCAATGACTGTCCCCCCCCCTCTTTCTGGTCCTCCTGGCCGCAATGGAGAGCCCCAGGGGTCAGCTCCTGAGGACAACAGTTCTGTCCCAATTCTCTGATCATGGAGGAAGTGCCCGTGCAGGCTGTGGGGGTCACCCACAGCGGCTGTGGGCCTGTGCTTGGGCCAGCAGGTCACTGAAGGAGTCGAAGAGCTGCTCCAGCCAGGGCTGGTTGCGCATGCACTGCTGGACCACCTCCTCCTGGCCCAGGTCCTCAGCTCCGCCCTCGATGGCCAGAGTCTGCAGGGGGGAAACATGGAGCTGGGAGGGCTGGGGGTAGGGTGGGGATCTGGGTCCCAGGGGGAGGGGCAGCTGGATTCAGAGGTCCAGGAGAAAGAGCACTCGAGGAACCTTAACTCTTGGGTCTGAGGGAGGAGGCCCGGGACCCAGACTTCTGGGTTTGAGGGAAGAGGGGTTGGGGCCTGGACTCCTGGGTCTGAAAGAGGAGACTGAGGTTAGACCCCTGAGGATGAGGAAAGAAGAATAGAATCTGGACCCCTGGGTCTGAGGAAGGAGAACTAGGGTCTGGTACCCAAATCTGAGGAAAGAGGGCTGGGGACTGAACCTGAGTCTGAGGGAAGAGGCTGAGGCCTGGACTCCTGGGTTTGAGGGAGGAGGCTGGGGCCTGAACCCCTGGGTCTGAGGGCAATGGCTGGGGTTTGGACCCCTGGGTCTGAGGGAGGAGGCAAATGTGGCGTGTCAGGCCCATGGGTGGCAGATGTGGAGGTAGGCTCACCTGGTCGCGGCAGCGCAGGAACGTGTGGTATTTGTAGTGGTGGAGTGAGTGGTAGAGCGTGTAGTACCCGGACTTCTCCAGCTCAACCTTGAACTCCTGGGCACACAGGGTCAGGGGGGTGAGGCCCACACCCGGGCTGCCAAGCCCCCCTCCTTCTTCTAGCCCCTCCTGCCGCCCCCTCCCAGTCCCCACCTGGGCTCGGACCACGTTCCTCTTGAGCTTGCTGAGTGTCTTGCGGTTGTAGGGTTCCCCAGCCGGCCGCAGCCGCACGGCTCCCTCTTCGGGGGACCCCTCCCCACTCTGTTCCACCTGCAGCTGTGGGAACGTGTGCAGGGCATCCTGCAGGAAGCCAAGGGGTCAGTGGGCCACCTGTGGTCTGACCCCCAAGCCTGACACAAACGTCTCAGGTCTTTGGGTTGTGAGGTGCCTCACTTTCCTGCAGGCTGTGATCCAGGGGTACACAGGTGGCTTGGTCTCCCAGAATCCTCAGAGGCAGCAAAATGTCCCATCCAGAGTCCTAAAATCCTCCGAAACTCCATAGTGCTATTGCTTGGCTATGCCATATGACAGAGTGAGCACATTAAATGTACTTTTTTTTTTTTGGTTGGTCCAGGTCTGGGCCTGGACGCTGTCCCTCAGCTCTTCAGCTCAAGGCTAACAACACTCTACCACCTGAGCCACAGCGCCACTTCCAGCTTTTTCTGCTTATGTGATGCTGAGGAATCAAACTCAGGGCCTCATGCATGCAAGGCAAGCACTCCACCACTGAGCCACCTTCCTTGCCCTAAATGTATTTTTGATCTTTGTGTTGGCCCTAGGGTTTGAACACAGAGCATGGAAACAGTTCCTCAGCTTTTTTGCTCAAGGCTGGCACTTTACCACTACACAGCTGCATTTTCAGCTTTTGGTGGTTAGTTGGAAATAAAAGTCTTGCCAGGTGCCAGTGGTTCACGACCTATAATCCTTACTACACAGGAGGTTGAGATCTAAGAATTTTGGCTTGAAGTCAGCCCGGATAGGAAAGTCGGTGAGACACTTATCTCCAATAAATTATTATTATTATTATT